TTACCATAGCGACTACTATTATGTTAAACATGGAATGGAATATTTCATGTGGAATTTGAATACTTCATGATTTGAAAAAAGGCGAGGGGTTGCTGCATGTATGTATTTCTAGTATGTTATCCGATCCGATCATTTGGAACAACAACCGATTGGTAGGGGAAACCGTTTAACTCGTACCGAAACACTAAACCTTTGAGATGACCCTACTTTGAGTGTCTCCACATTGGTTCGCAAATATTTGTATAGAATCATATATACATATATAAATGTGCGTAAAATTTGTAATGTAGCCAACTGATGTCAACTTGAAATCTAGCCAATCATGGATAGAGCATACAATAATTAGGTCTCTCTTACCTTTGTTATTCCTAGAGCTCCAATATTTTCACTGAACGAAGTAGTTGCATTTCCAGTACCAACAGCGCCCGCGAGAAAACATGCAATGCCCTCAACACCAATCCCACGATTCATAGCGTGTGACGGAGGTGGTGGTGCTCCAGATAACCTTGCGCATGCGTAATAATCTCCAATAGACTCTACAACACCAGCAATAACTCCAGCTAGCATACCAAACACACCAGCAAGACTTACAGTTGGAGTTCCCCATTGACCTTAAACATCAAAACATCTTTAAAGAATAAAAGGATTTCATAGCATCCCCCACATGTATCGCCTTTAATAGATTGGTGGGCGGAATTCGGTTACATACATACAAAAATTTATTTATGCAAGCTTGCCTAAACAACTCAGAGCTGATTTCCATGACGGAAGCGTCATTTTAGAAAGAATATACAGATAAACATTACTATAGATTATACAAAAATACATATACTAAGAAAGAAGAATTACTATGTACAGTAGGCAACAGGACGAGCCAATTTTAAATGTTTGCCTGCAGGTTAATATTTCTTTGAAATGAATTTAAAGATTCCGTTACTTTTACCTCATACGATAAATTATTCCATACTACCGCTCCGTTATATCTGAAGCATCTTTTACCAAAATCGGTACTATTCGGTTTAGGAAGAGACAAATCGGTTTCTCTATTTCTAAGATCATAGGTATTATCAAATTCATTATTCAATCGAAAGAATGTTCTTAGATTTGGTGCGGTGTGGTTATTCAGAATTTTATACATAAAATTAAAACAGATTTTAGATAAATTCGCCTTAGTATTTCCAACCCAGGCTTTCGAGTAACTCAACCGTCCCAACATAGTAAGTTGCTCCAGAAATTACTCTTGCAGCCCGATTTTAGAATTTCTGCCACCTGTCCATGAGGCCTATTCCACAGTTGACACAGAGAGGGCTGCATTAATCAAAGTAGGGCTGTACAATGGCATTGTAGATCAATTTTACTGTAATTAATTGTAGATAAAACGATACAAAAGGCCTAGTACGTCTTATAGCTCTGATACCCGCACTGGCTTTTGAACGTATCATACGAACATGTTTTTCCCAGGACAATATTTCGTAAATATTGACACCAAGGCAAATATAATTTTCAGTCCTAGATATTGGAACATTATTAACGATAATAGGGTTGCCAGATACCTGATGTTTAATATAATTATACGCTAATCCAATGAACATATATTTCGATTTTGTAGGATGAGTTTGGAGTTTATTTCGTAGCATCCATTTTCGAATATTTTCAAGATCAAGGTTTATTTTAATAACAATGTCATCGCAACCCAGGTGAACTACGAGATGTTAGCAACCCAGCTGAACTACGAGATATTTGCGGAGAAGGTTAAGTGGCTTAAAGTGCGAAAGGTTTTAAAGCCATGTTTTCGAAGGCTTATTTTTATAATTATGACTGCATTGAGTGGAGAAAATTCAAAGTGACTAATAAGATATTTTTCCAAACTGTCTTAGGTTCAATTTTCTTTCTTGAGATATGTTGCAATGTTTGATATGCAAATTATCATCACTGTGACGTCAAATGGCATATATCCATTATTGACCGCATTAACTTTTTTCAGAAAGTCATTATGTAATGTGCGGGAGAGTGAAGAACGTTACGAAGCAAGCTAAGAGAGTTTACAATGCAATCAGAAAAAAGACTTGAAATTTCGTTGCATAATCAGTTTAAAGGTGAAATGATCGAGCATGCTAACAGTTTTATGTGAATGTAATTGCTGCATGCATTGCATGGCTCTGTGCAGAAACTGTGTTACAAAATTCAGTAATAAACTAATAGCCTCGTTTAACACAGTGAACTCAATCTATTTACCGAAAAGGATAACATTCAGTCATTGGCAATTAAAAAGTGAAGCCTTGCGTGAGCAACGCGTGAGCAGTGGCGTCAGCTCTCCACGCCATTTTTACGCCATATAATCTGTCAGTTTCAGTCCCTTTATACGCCATCAACGCGCGGTCAATTGCCACGCCATATAGTACGTCAGTTCCCTTATACGACATCACCATGCGCGGCCTATCACAAATTAGTACGCGTCAGCAGGCTCGAGTTGGCGTGAAGTGACGTTGGCATTGGCTTCACGTTTCTCCCGGGTGTCATCGTTCCAGATAAAAGACATGGAGTTCGCTGGTTTAAATTAACATGGTCTTTCACGAGTACACCGATGTAGTAAACGTTTCTTTTCTGTGCAACTTAAATAATTTATCATGTTTCAAACTTAATAGAAGTCCGACACTGTGACGGTGTCTTTGACGTCATGATGGCGTATCCGCCCGCCATGTTCCTAGCCAAGGAGAAGCCGGCACTCTCTGTAAATATTCCAAGTGCTAGGCTTGGTCTCGTTCAGGAGGACGCGCGAATGCCTCTCGTAACCGCACTAGCTAGGAACATCGCAACAGCATTGCGACTACATCGCAACCTGTGACGTGTTGGGTGTTTTTGACCGAGTCGTACCTCTGTAAAGTTAAGGCATATACTCTGTCAGACGTACATAGTAGTACATTAATTCAGTTTACTTCATGTTATACCTGGATAAGGAACTCTAAACCAGGGTGATTCAGACAAGACGCCAGATCTTGTATCTGTTCTAGCTTTTGACGTTTCCGAGAATACATTTGTTTCAGTCAAAATTGCGCACAATATCCAACTTACTGCAATTGCAATAATCACCTGAGGAGCAAAAAAAAAAACTATTAGAGCTGCTTGAGTGAATATCAGGATTCTGGGCATTTACATATTTACCCATACACTTTACATTAGCATCACCTTAGTAATACACATGAACTTGTGGCTAGAGCTCGGTCAACTGGCCCCTGTAGCTCAGTTAGCTAGAGCATTGCAACAGAATCGAAGGACCGCAGGTTCGATTCCTGGCAGAGGAGGTATAGTTGCATTTTTCGCAATTTCTCTTGGTTAGGTCCAATAAATGTATAAAATTCACACTCTATTATAGAGCTGCTGCCGATATTAACCGTTTAAACAATTTTTTAGCAATTGATTATGATAAACAAGAGACGTCCCTTAATGGAAACAAAACTATACTGGTGCGCAGCCTAAATTATTCTTTCCCGAATTAAGTAAAAGAGTTTGAAAGATTTAGCCTTGCAACCTTTGTTGCATTATAACTGCAAACAGACCCGTATATATACTCACTTTCAAATTACGCAAATGATCAATGATAAATGATAGAGATTAATCAATTACTAATCGATTATTTAATCGATTATGAATATCAGTATAATTATATGCAGGGCGTATCTCTAGGATATGGTAAATCTGGGATGAAAGTTGATTGGGCAGAATGAAGTTGTCTGGCATTAGCCAGAACATAGAAATAACAGATAGTCAAATTCAATATAGCGGACTTAAACGGGCACGCATGAGAAAAAGTGGAGACATGACTCGTGATCAAGTACGCATTATATATCTACTAGAAATACATGCATGCATCAACTCCCCGCCTGTATTTCCGAAACATTGACTTAACATGAAGTATTAGCAATTGATCAACACTGAACGTAGGCTCGCGTTTACGTCAGTGTTGCCATGGAAACACGATAATTTTAATTTTTATTATATTTTTTGTACAACACGCCAAAAATAGTTGAAATATTATTGCTTTTAACTATATAACTAGAAATACATGCATGCAGCAACCTACGCCTTTTTTTAATAGATGAAATATAGAAATTCCACATGAAGTATAATAGTAGTCGCTATGGTAACGTTTTAACTAAAGAACAAGACGCTCTGTTGAGCGTTTAGTCGCTGGGTATTAAAATAAGGCACGTCTTGATTAGAATAACTTACCATATATCATCAACCTCGTACCCAGGGCTTCTGCGCTCGTTGCTCTCTCTTCATTCTCGTACGCAGAACCGTTCTTACGCGCGATCAACAGAGTGCGACGAGGGGCTCTGGCCAAATCCAAACCGGAAACCAAAAAAAACATGGTATTAGAACAATATCCGGTATTAGAACAATAACCCTCGTTGTGGCCAATCAGATGCCAGTTTGATGTGGATTTGGGCAGAGCCCCTCGTCGCGCTCCGTAAGAAAGGCTCTGGGGACGAGAATGCTCCCTTCTGAGAGCAATCTCGAAACCAGAGCCTGCAAGCCTCCACAGAAGATATGAGAGCAATAACTACAGAAACCCTGGGTACGGTGATTTCATTGGATTTATCTGGCTTAAGCCAACTTCGAGAACATTGCAAACCAGGATTCAGCAATTTTATTCAAATTTATTGCAACTCAACATTTTGACCCTTTAATTTTCTCAAAAAATGTAATACCCCCCCCCCCCCTTATTATTATTATTATTATTATAACGAATATTTACACAGGCTGGATATATACATTTCAGCACAAAAGTGCTGTTATCAATGTGAGTCTTGTTACACCTTAAGAATCAATTAAAAACTATTAAACTACTACCTATAGTTAGGAAGTTAGCCTACTACATATTATAACTACTACTTTATCATTTATTTATACTCATGGCCCCACCTTTGCCCACCCCCTCCCTCTTCCATAAATAAAGACTTGTCCCAAACTCCAGGAAAAATCTGTGCACTTCACAAAACATTTATAACAATTTATTGCGTTCGCCTCAGGCTGGGTAACCACAACAGAAATTGCCAAAATGTCCTTTCAAGGTAGCTTGCATGTTAGGGAAGAAAATGGCTGCCCCCAAGCCATTTGCAAACAAATTCAATATCTTTTCCAGAGAAATATGCCAAATCCCCCATGATGGAAAACGTCAAAATCCTCGCCCCCAGCTAGGCTAAAAATATCGGCAATAGCTCCGCCCCTTGGACTAGGAAAAGCTGCAAAGGCCCGGGGGTGAGGGGATAGCAACTGCTGGAATTAACTGATACATTAGATTATCAAAGCTAATTTTAAAATATGACAATAACAGACAACTCTTCTGCCAATATCTTAAAAAGAAATATTCCAATAATTTTTCATTAATTAAACAGCCACGAATTACATACCAAATTAA